GGAAGCTAGGGTTTCTCTGGTTCCGCCTTTTAGGTAGCGAAAGGGACGAACCAGAATTGGCTTTAATAGTCTGCATTTCCATTAGGGTTTAAGTGGGTGATTCAGACCCAATGCATTCAAGCCCAACATTTTACGGCCCATTAAGACCGAATAGATTTATACTTTTTTTTTCTTTGGTTAAGTCTCTGATTTTGGTGGCAGCGGCAGACGGAGCTTATCACTTGAATCTTATGTTAAAAGCATAAGAATGTAACATTATTAGATCCTCCTAAACGTTTGTACATTGTTGAAGGAAATGCTAAAGCAAATGCTTAAACGGAAAACAATTGCGCCTTTAAGTAAAGAACGAGAGAGAGATAAACCAATGAAAGATACTGATGCAATTTTCGTAGAGCGTCGTCTACTTGTGTGTGGACAAGAAGTTGGGACTCACAATCTCTAGGAGTCCCTTTGGATTGTCTGTGTGGACCCAATGGCCAGAGTTACGAAGAAGATGAGTCGCAACCTTCCCTTCTGATATATTTTGTCTCTGCTTCGCAATCGTTTCAAGCCGTTTGGTTGTATCTTGGTCCCATCGGTCACTCTTTTCTGCAATCACAAAAGAAATCTCTGTCTCTTTCGGCGGATTCTCTAGCAAGGACCAGTACGAAGTCTCTCTGCAATGGGAAAGCAAGGAGTTCTCATAGAAATAAAGAAAAATCTTGAGGAATGTCAATATATAAAATATAATCATTGGTTCTTATGAGTGGAAAGAAACCTGTAAGAGTTGAACATTTGGACAGCTCCGTCAAGGTTAAAGGCCCATGTCTCTGAGTCTCCGGATCTCTTGAGATTACTGCCAATCCACTCGGATAACGATCTTGAAAACCCAAGTTCGACCATGTGATCCACGAGCCACCTAGAATCACAAAACAATGTCTGAGTGGCACGATGTTGGTTTTGCATACCCCACAAGCTGAAAGGAGCCTCATTTATATGTCTAACATAATCGTCTAGAAAATTTCGCATAAGCATACTCTTTATTCCCACTTATCTATATGCATACGCGTGTTTACTTTACTTGTACATGCCAATGCAAAAAATGCACTTGCATCCGCAACAACAGCTAAATCAGAGAGATGTTATACACCACAGATAACTAACATTCACCAGAGATTTCATATCAAAAGTGAGCATTATATATCTACTTCTGTGTAGGAAAATGAATATATGAATCAAACCAACAGTCTATCGGACAAAAACACACACGGAAAGAATGAGACTTTACTTGCGGGAAGGGATTGGTGAAGGTAAACTCTGCAAAGTCTGTAGAACTTTCTCTACTTCACCATCACTTTTCTCTGCCTTGACTTCCCCAGGGACAGAGTCTAGTACCCATAGCTGTTCTGCATCAAAGATAGAGACAACAAACCAACTTTGCTATGGTCATCATCATTCTCAGAAAGAACAAAAAATACAAATTGGAATCTTACAACACAACACCGAGCTTATAAAACTTGCATAGATCATAAGAATAGACAAAAAAAAAAAAAAACCAACGAACAGATCAACATTTCTATCATAAATCGAAAAAAACCAGCATCAAGAAGGTGGAGTCACTTTCTTCCTAAGTACCTGTTTAGGAGGAGAAGCGAATTCTCCATAATCACCACGAGCACAACTCTCCATGAACTGCAAAGCCACTTTACCTCCCAAGGAGTGACCAATTACCACATCAGGCCAATTCCAGCCACTTGCTTTAACCAAATCAGCTAAATCCTTAGCCGAATTCACAAGATCATGAGGCGGATTAATCCCTTCCACTTCCGTAGATCTCCCATGGTTCCTCAAATCAACCAGTATCATCTTCCAATCTGAAAAAAGAATCCGATAAATCAATGGAGAAAATCTGAAAGTACCGATCAA